TTTTTGGCCTTCCCTTTTTAAACAATTATAACCTTGACAGCATACGGTTTCTTCATGGCATTCAGTTCATCTAAGTACACTTAGTCTGCCTTCATTTTTGGTAGGTATTATGTCAAGCTACAAAGCATAGCATTAGTATTTAGTAAACTATAAGATCAGACCTTTCACATATATATACCAAAATTTAAAAAGTAGAGTGCAATGAACTCTGACCTTTTTTCACAATAATACAAGTGTTCTTTCGTTTAATGATGCATATTGTTAAATATATGTTGTATATATTGGTCAAAGGAGATAATTTCTCATAATTATCCTCCTAGTTGGTTATACGTATTTTTGTATAGTTGTTATCCTAGTTTGTAGCCTAGGATAATGCATAGCTAGCTTGTATGTAGTCCTAGTTTGTAGCCTAGGATAATGCTTAGCTTGTGTACATATTTTCTGTGATATTCAATGAGAAGGCAAGGAAAATATTTCCCTCATCTTTCACATATATATAGAACTAAGAGAGTGCACAAAATTTGACAGATCTACCTGCACCTATGAACTTAATTGTCCTCAGGCAGATCCATGATTCACACCAGAAAGGGCAATAGATCAAGGTCTAATTAGCAACTGAAATGCTGAATCTTCAATCGCCGATTTGAACAGTTTGATATAGGCATTTGACATTATTCAGGGGATCATTCATTTCCTTGTTAGTTGCATTGATTACCCTCAGCTTCTGTAAAATAGCCTGTAAATAGCCTTATTTTTTTGAAGACTTGGTTAAACACAAGGAACCAGTAAAAGCAAGTATTGCATAGGAACAAGCTCATAGTGTATAAGTTTATTCGACTGCACCCCAGAAGAGTCAACAAAAAAAGCAGTAGTATTGTACAGTTTACCACAGGTTTACAAAGCTACAAAATATTTAGAAAGGTATAACCGAAGTCTTCTATGAGCGCGTGTAGTTGGAGGGCTGCCTGCGTGGTACATGACAACAGAAACGTAAGAACATATTTGTGCTAGTGTTTTAGCTAAGCTACCTTGCCTAACTCTTAAACAAAAAACATTAAACTGAGGTAATGTACCTGCTGTAACTATTATTCATGTACCTATTTCCTGTAACATAACCTACGGATCATGATGCAAAAAGAAAACCAAATACCATCTGATGTGCACGAAAAAGGCTCCGATATAGCTGAAAGAAAACACACTTTCCAACATTAATAATTGTAGAGGAGCTGAAAAGGAAACGAAAATGATGCAAGGGATACATTACCTTTAACACTACCTGAGGTCTTGACCAATGCCTGCAAGTTTCAGGACTTCATATGAGACTATGTTTTTGACATAGTTGGTAGGGTACTGTACTAGAGGTAAAGTGTAGAAAACTAAAACTTTGCTTAGCCTTTTTTGCGCGCGAACGTGCAACATACAACTGCCCTTGAGAGAAACATGGGCGAGGAAGATGAACTGAAACCTAATCTAGTGTTTGTCCTTGAGATTTGTCAATCGTCATTGCAAAGCTTAGCTTGATAGGAAACTGCCTTCTTTGGAACTGGAAAGGTTAACTAGTCGAGCAGATGGTCGCAAATCAATTCGAGGTACAAAGACATGCTCACCCTTGAAGTGGCCAACGACAATAACACATTCAATGACATTTGAAAAGAACCTCTTACATATAAGACGTGTGCCATTGCAAAGTCCAGACAAAGGCAACAAATTTCGCAGTAGTATAGCTGGGTAATTTTCTTTAAGTACCAATTCATGAGGACTCATTCGAAGTCATTCCTCCAGTACAGAGCTTATTAATTGCATGTATCATCAAGGATAATGTCAAAGCTTTTGCAGGTAACAGAAGCACTTGGGAATTTATCAATTAAGAATGAGTTAATACAATCTGCATCGTTATTCATTGGTGTTAGAGTAGCCCTCTTTGTGAAGATGTCACCAGGAAGCTTATCTGCACCGATCTCAGGGAATGTCTCCGCTATAAGCTGGGAGATAGAATCCTTGTCAGAACCACTCGGCTTTCCAATTTCCTGTGTAGCCCTACATAATCAGTTTTTTTGTAATAAATGTAATGTTCGGGTAAAAAAATGCATTTCAAACTTCCGCCGGGAGTTTGTTAAGATCAATCTAAATTAAAGTTATACAACTAATCCAAAATTATAAAGCAACCAACTTAAACACTTCTCTTTTGAAAAAAAACACATAAACAATGAAAAAAGTACGATGTTACAAATAAACAAGCAAAAAAACAACGATGATGTATACATGTGAGCATCCAAAATCATTGACATTTTTTTTATAACATCATCACATTATTAATAAAGAAACAAACAATTATAGTTTTTTCTAATAAGAAAATTATAAAACGGGTAAACGGATCTGGATTTGGGTTTAATCAGACCCGAATCCAAATCCGTTTTTTCCAGCAGGACCCGAATCCGACTCGGATCCGTCGGGTTCAAATTTTGAAGATCCATATCCGTGAAAATTTGAATTCTGATCCACTGCCATCCCTGGTTATAGCCCTTGGACTTCATTGTGTTTACGCTTTGATTAATTGTGGAGTCTCACACAAACTTCAATACATTTGATGACTTCCATTGGACCACATGTCACCTCTTTATCAATGATTCGAAGAGAATACTACTAATAAAATACTGCTTCTGTCCCCAAATTTTCACTAATGAGCAACTAACAATATTTATGGTTAAAGTTTTACATTGGCAAATGTGTACAATCAAAATGAGAAGAACATTTAGAGATGAAGGGAGTATAAACACACTTGGCCGATTTAAAGTCACTACAATTTCAATCCTACAACCAACTGGTAATAGGTTGAGTTTGCATACTAGTCTTATAAGTTAGTCTTAGTCTTAGTCTTAGTCACTCCCACCTTTTCTCTTCACTGCAGAGTTTGCAACTGGTAAGGTCTCACCTGTTTATGCTTTGATGGGTATGGTGGATGAATTTAAAGTTTTAAACCGTTTCTACTAATAATTCTATACAATATTCAGCTTTATTCTAAAAAATTTAAAAAGCATTTCAGGCTATCCAAATGCTCAATTTATACTAACAGAGTATTAGACTATCAAAGATGTTGGCCGAGTCATAGTTGAATGATGCACGCTTAACCCCCTTTTCATCCTTTTTGGCCATAAAATTACTTATTATATATTCGTATATGACATGTAATTTGTAGCGAATATGAAGTTGAGTCCAAACCTTGTGCAAGTGTGAATGTCTAATATTTGCCCCAAAATTGCATCGTCCACCTAGTAGAGGATGCTTACCACTGGACAAAAGTTCAAGCTATTCAACTCCAAGCAATTAGCTACTCAGCCGTGGATATATTGAGTATCATAAACACGAATGCATGACAAAGATGATGTCAATGCAAGATTAATCAAACTATTACAGCAAAATTGTCAACCAAGAGTAACTGCCAAAATACAAAAAAGTTCTGTGAACAATTTAACTACAAAGAGAGTATAAAAATAAAAATAAAAAAAAGAAAAGAAAAAAGAGTACTTATTCATACAATACTTTGCAACTTAGGCCTTTTTCTAACTATATCCAACACCTTAAAATTCTTGTATTCACCAAGATATTAATTGGCTCCCGGTGATTTATAAATTCCTTTTCCACATATCTGATGTTGTACCAGCTATTACTCAGAATTGGAACAAAGTGAAAAACACTTAATGTTATTTGAAATTATCAAAATTTTGAACATAATGATACAATACAATCTGACATTCTAACTAGCGCTGAAGCTGCTCCTCAATTAGAACTATGAACCTGAAGAATGCATGCATACTGGGGCGGAGCCAAAATGGGTTCATTGAACCCACTGATTTTTGAAATTTTTTTATAAAAATACAAAAACTGGAAAACGGTTAACAGAAATATCTGTGTAGCGAATGTAAAGAAGTAAAGGTGCAGCTCAGTGATTTTTTTACCTCACATTGTATATAAAATTATGAGTTCGAATCCCATTACTCACAGCCACACTTTAATTTTTTTTATTTTTTTTTTCCTTTTGGTTTCTCCATTACTGTTTATCACGAACAGTTTTCCACTTTCCCCCCAAATTCTAAAACCTAACTCCCCTAAACTCCAACTCCCCTAAATCTCGCCAATCGCCGCCCTCCGCCCGCCGCCTGCCGCCCGCCGGCCACCTTTTAGTCCGTAACTCCGTGACGCATTCCGCCTTTAGTCGTCCTTCACCGGCCACCTTCGTTCAATCAATCAGTTCGTGACGCTTCAGTCCTTCAACATACCGCAATCGCATACGGCACTTCGATCAATCGGCTCACGGCGGCACGGCCTCTACCAGTCGACCTGGTGTCTGGTGAGCTTGCCTTTCCGGTTTCCTTTAATGCTTATTGCTGCCTTGCTGTGAATCTGTGATTGTGAATGCTCAATGCGAGTATGCGATAATGCTGTCTTTCTGTCTTTCATAATTTCATTGTTGTCAATTGTCGAAAACTCGAAATTGTCTAATTGTGATTTGTGAATGTTATTGAAATTGTCTAATTGTAATTTGTGAATGTTGTGATTGTTGTCGAAATTCAGAAATTGTCTAATTGACTAATTGTGACTGACTGAATGTTGTCTTTTAGTTTTAGTCTAATTGCATTTGTTGTCTTGTTGAATTGCTGCCAAGTGCCTTGCTGCCTGTGACCTTGAGTGCCTGACTAAGTGACTAGTGCCTTGCTGCCTTTATTGTCGTATTGAGTTATTGGTAAATGATAATTGCTAATTTGATTGGGAATTTGAGATATAATGATATATAATGTAAAATTGTAGATTGTGCCATTGTGGTATAGTGATATATAATGAATTTGAGATATAATCGAAAAATGCTTGTGTAGTTTTATTTTTTCATTTTTCTATGTATAATCTATTTGTAATTCATAATATGAACTTATGTACTTAATTTTTAATTATTATATTTTCATCCCTTTGTTAATTATGATTCCGAACTTCTGAAGTTTCGAACCCACACTCGCAAATCCTGGAGACGCAACTGGCCACTTTCCATACTAATCAATTCTGCATCACTGTCATTCAAATCTTCATCACTATTCAAATGAATTTCATTGCACCTTCCTCATGAATTTCTCGTATACCTCCTATTTCATCAACATCTCCTCCAACATTAAGCCCTCCTAAGCTCCTAGTTACCCTCTCACTAATGTCATGATCTACATTTAAAGCAAATAGATCGTCATCACTGTCATCTTCAAAATCACCCTCACTTAAGTAAACATCACTATCACCACTGTCAGAGTTCAAATTAATATTAATGGCCTCCTCCACCATTTTATACACTGAAAAGTCAATGTTTATCCTACAAATTAATACAAAGCCATAAACCATTTTCAATTTCAATCAACCAATTAAACATGCCTTTTCCAATTGTAAAAATCAACAGGTTGTACAAGCAATTTTCAATACCTTTAATATAAAATTCAACCAAAAATTAAGGTAAAGCTAAAAGTAATGACTACGTTAATTATTTATAATTAATCCATTTTTCAATACAAATTAAAGTAGTCAACTATAACCCTAACCCAATTATACAAAATTAGTGGGTGGTTCAAGATGTTTGTTATTACATGGTTTTTTGTATAATAGTCCAATTGGTCCCCTTGATTAGATTACCACGATGCCCTTTTTTATTCTTCACCATGACAGAGAGAGAACGAGTGAATTTAAAGGAAAATTGGTACTTTTTTGTAAGTTAAATCATTCAAAGAAAGAGAGTATAATTATATATTTACCTCTTTGGATGATTATTAAAATCCCTGCAATGCCTTCAATGCGTCAACCTGGCAGAATTGTTTAATTCTTTGCAGTTTCTTAATGGAGTGAGAAGAGAGAGAGGCTGAGAGTGGGGGGGTGGGGGACATCTGATGAAGGGTGACAAAAGGGAGGGGATTCGTGAATAGAATTGGGGAAAAATAGGGATTTAATTAGTCACGGTTCTTGCACGTGCAAGTCAACGCCGGAATAGGTAGTCAATGGCCGAAAAAAATTGAGTGGTAATCTTTCACAAAAAAAAATTCATAATTGGTAGTTTCTAACAAAAAATAATTTAAAAGGTAGTTTCTCGTAAAATGTTAAACTTAAAAGGTTGTTTCTCATAAATTTTCCCAAAAAAAAAAAAAAAAAATTCTGTAAAAATCTTTTACTAGTAAATGAGTTTTTTTTTTTTTAAAAAAAAAAATAAAAAAATTGAGTACATTAAACCAAACGGTGCCATTCAAGTCCGGTAGTAGAGTACTCGTGTTCGTATCACCAAAACAAGCAAGACTGCAAGAGATCGAGCAGTAATCTGAGGCCCATTATCGGAAACCGGAGCAACCGGCGGCGACAGGGTGCTCGGCAATTTCTGTCTACTTTATTGTCGGTAAAGTAGAAGCCTTCTTGTTGACTCGTTTAATTTTTCAGAATTTTCAAGTATTGCTTAATTGAACTTATTAATTTCACCCTCTTCAATATATCTAATCAAACCAATTGAAATATGAAATTTTGAAAGTGTTAGGAATCTTTAGATAATATAGGTGCTTTGTTTTGTAATTTTAAATAAGACATTGGTGATTAATATACATTCCTGAGGATAGAGAACCATAGAGGGACGGAATTTGATCCAGGTCTTGAGTACCACCCCCAAGACTTTGCCGAGTAAGCTATTTAGGACTTTGGCACTCACTGGTGAATTACTGAATTAGATGTTAGTTGTTGTCCAAATTTGTGTGATCTTCAATTCTTCAGTTGCTCTAAAGTTAAAAGAGTTAAAATTATTGAACATGTGCTTCCGAAATATGCTAGCTTTAATGGGGCTGCTTGATAATTATAGACTTATATTGAACCTGTTATTCTTCATTTATTTGTAAATCTAAGTGCTTCAGGCATATAATTTGGAAAATATCAATTAATATGTGAACCGCCGGCTATCTAAAGTCGTTTTTAGTGTAATTACACTCAATAATTATAGTATTCTAGGTAGAGATTGCAGCAAATGTATCGTCATTAGACTCATTACTATTGTCTGGTAACTTTTGCTACATGTTTCCCTCAAGCCTGTTCTGAATTCTATACGAGTAATTTACTTGCCTCGTCTTCAATTTCTGATCCCAATTATTTTTTGGAATTTAATTTTTGATCTGTTATTCTTGTATGTAGGATTTTGAGAATTCCCTATTTTTGTAGTAATGTTTCATTTGTTCTTCCTTGTAAATGCAGGGATCAACGGATTTATTCTCAATATAAGGAAAACATTGTTACTGTTAGAATTTCCTTCATAAATCAAAGGCCTTGGTCGTGTGGTGTTTAGAATTCTGATTTTGGTAAAACTTAGAACTCTCACTTTGGAGTTGTTGGTGATGGGTTCCGTTGAGGCAGAAAATTTTTGTGATATTAATTCTTTTATGGCGCTTGCAATAGAAGAAGCAAAACTTGCTTTGGAGAGACTTGAGGTGCCTGTGGGTTGTGTGATTGTTGAGGATAAAAAAGTCATTGCATCTGGGAGTAATCGTACTAACGAGACACGGAATGCTACAAGACATGCAGAGATGGATGCTATTGATAGCCTTCTACTGCAGTGGCAACAAGATGGACTTTCTCAATCAGATGTTGCTAAGAAGTTTTCAAACTGTGTTCTATATGTTACATGTGAGCCTTGCATAATGTGTGCAGCTGCTTTATCATTTATGGGATTAAAGGAAGTGTACTATGGATGTGCTAATGATAAGTTTGGGGATGTGGGTCAATTCTTTCCCTTCATTCAACTAGCTATGAGCACTCCAACGTTGCAGAAGCAAAAGGCTATAAGTGTACCGGAGGGATAATGGCATCAGAAGCAGTTTCTCTTTTTCAAACTTTCTATGAACGTGGAAATCCTAATGCACCCAAGCCTCACAGGACAGTTGTTCCCTGACACCCCCTCTTCCTTGTTCTGTGCTCCACAATGGTTCTACGTTCAATGTTTCTATAACTCATTGACGCTACAAATGATAGTGTATATTGAGGGGCAGAAAAGTAGAATGATTGAGGGTGGTCAGCCTCTTCACAATCTATTTAAAACTTCAATTGACACCTCTCAGCTCTACTTGTTGAATTATGTAGAAAATGAACTCTCGACAAAGTATTATTGTATTTTTTCTGGGCAGATCTTGTGGCAAGGGGCAGTATCTCAGCATATACCCTTGTCATTAATGATACAACTTATCGCCATTATATGGTTTAATGACTATGTTCCTTGGTTATTTCATGGATTTCAAAATGGGATGACTGTTGACCTTTACAGCGCTTGGCGTGTGTAAAGGTACGCTTGTTTTCTTGCTAAACTTCTATAATTTTGTCAAAGTGAATTGTCCAATGAGTGTTGGATGTTGTCCCAATGAAATTTAGCATAGAGTGACCATCTATCATATTTGAAAACTCAAAACGTTGTTGCATTGCCAATTGCTTGCTGTGCTAATGTTCATAAATTCATGATTCCAACAATTTCTATTACAACTGCAAACTACTTTGATTAGTAAAATTATTCAATTCTGTTTTTTACCTTATTTTTTCTGGGATATTCTATTTATATATTTATTTATAAAACTCCAAATTAACTCAATTTAAACAGAAGTAACTCACTTTTAAGCCTACTGAATCTTTTCTATAAACTTGTAGCTGCATTCTGTTGCCGGATTTCTAAGCTTCTTTAGTTTTCTTGGCCATGTTTATAGAGCCACTGGTATAGAAGAGGGAGTTTTCCTGTTGCATTAGGTTGCTGGCTAATAGTGGAGAACTTTATTTATCTTAAGTCAGGGCAAGAGTGTCTTTCTACCAGAAACCAGTCTATGTTGGAGAATGGAGACTGCCTTGGGGTCCTCATATGGCATCCTTCTGCTTCACCAACTGCTAGCCTTTGTCAACTTTAGTTCTGTCAGGAACTTGTAGAACAATATAAACTTCTGTACCTCTGATGATGACTCGTTGCTTCTCATTTAATCTTCTGATGGGGATGAGGGCATGATTTCTCATAGAGACATGAACTGTTAGTCTACTAGTGTGCTTGTTCCTTCATTTTTATCGTTAATTCTTGCAATATATTTGCAATAATTTAGTTATGCTTGCCGGCTTAGTAATCATGTGAACTTCCTTTTCTGCTAAAATCCTTCATCTGCTATATAACCTACCTTTCCTCTTTGCTCCTTTTTTATAGGAACTGATTGTTTTTCTTTTTACATTTTGATCAATTCCATTCAGTAAGGCAATTCATCAGATGTCTATTGTGGTGTGGTCATGTTCCATTTAAAGCCTTCACCGCGAATATTAGGGTATCTGAACCTAGTATAATTGTATCTATTTGATTTTCGTTAATGTGGACGGTAGTTTACTGAAATTATTTCATTGAATATCTGCAATTTCATGACTACTTTGATATTAATGTTTTTAGAAGATGCACATGAAAGGGATTCTCTCTGTCTCTCTTTTCTTATTTTTTCCCCCTTTATAATGGAAGAGTAACCCTATCCTTATCTAATTTCTGCATGTCACTTATGATGAATTTTGACTGGGTGATTTGTACTATTTGGATGCTGTGATACAGTCACACCACTCATACAGTGTGTATTGCTTTCTCTGTCCAATTGAAGGCCTACTGATAAATGACTGTACACAAACCATTTTTGGTCACAAATAGTAAAGATTTTTTTTGCACAAGGGTCCTGCTAATCAAAGACAGATTTATATGTATTATTTGAAATTAAATAATGTTGAGTATCTCTTGATTTGGTATTAAACTACACTTTATGACAAAGTCACTCGCCTACCAGTGACATAAGTTTTTAGCCCGCATAAGTTAGAAACTTTTTTCTTAGCTTGTAGTAAGTCAGAACTCAACAATCTGAAGTGCAATTTGGTTTCCTGTAGTCATATTACAGTGCTTGTTGACCATGTTGATATTCTGGAATTTATGACTGCTTTTGAGATTCTAAGGTGGCACTTTTTTTTGCCTAAACTTGTTCATGGAATAAGAACCACAAAACAGATCCGGCCATCCGTGTAGTGAACTCCAAGTATTATGGTAGTTTTTGACAATTATGGTTACATGTTAGATGTAGTATTACTGTAACTATTAATGCTGTACATCCTTTTGTTTTTCTCTCAATTTTCTTCTGAAAAGACCTCTAGAATGGGAAAGTATTCGGGGAGATCTTGTCGGTACAAAGAAGATACAGGCTGACATAACTGTATCAGGAGCTACCAATCTGTAATGGTTGCATTTTTACCATTTTCTAATATCTCTTTTAGGTGGGACTTAGGAGTGTATCGGGCAGGGGAGGTTGTAAAGGAAGTTCAGTCGTAGCATAAGTAGCACTAGTAGCATAGCTGTGTGTACAATATTGAATAGGTTTTACTGAAATATGTTAGTGGGTCATGCAACATGAGGTCGCTGTGCTTGGATTGCAATCTGTAAAAACTACATGGCAGTATGGCACGACACGGTTATGATGGTAGGGTCTACATGGCAGTATGGCACGACACGGTTATGATTGGCAGGGTGCTAGTTCGGCACAATCAAACTCAGTAGAACAATGTGCCATGGACCAGCAATCCAGCACATTAGCACAACTTGTGGTCTGTGCCATGCCATGGGTTGTCATCCAAATACCATTGTACAGCCCACTGCCGTACCTAAAGTTACCTCTATTACGCATCTCAGCATCTAGGGGAGCAGTATTCATTGGATTAGCCTTATTTTCTTATTATAGCTATATTCTGGTAAGAAAAGTAATGATGATTAGTAGATTCTTATTACACAAAATTCTACCCTTGTAGATTCTCCTATGGACTCGTGGTATCAATTGCGGTTAATTTACTTAATTATGAGTTTTTCATGCCTAATCTGTCACTTTTAGCAGTTAATTATGGTTACTTAAGTTATAGGATTCAGGTCATAGAAGTTCATGTCCCTTTCTGTGATGCTAAATGCCTTATTCTGATACACACCAACTACATGCATCAATTTTGCAGGTTAACTTCAAACAGCCGACCTGATATTTCTCTATAATGGACAAGAAGTACAATATTATTCTCTTTAACACTGTAGATTCCTACTAATGATCAAGGTGACCATGTCTATATTTTTTCAGTGCTGATTATTTCTTTTTCATGTGTCTTTTTTATTGTAGTAGAGCTGATTGTGGGCCGATCTAGCATACACCCCATTATACTGGTTTATTTTTGCCTGGCACGTCAGGTCTGGCCTTTTTTAGGCCCAAAAAAGTCGGTGCTATGCCTGGTATAGTTGGGGCCATGATGTCAAAACCTTGAGTATTTGATTAGCTCAAAAAATTGATCTGACTTAATGCCTTATTGAGGCAGTCATAGTTCAGGCCAGAAAATATCTGCCCAAATCCGGTCCTGTATGAGACCTTCTCACTCGATTAGCTCTTTACATACTCTATGTATCCTGATTGAGCAGTGCTCACTTGACTAGCTATAATCCAATGCTTACTTGCTTAGATCTCTTCTTTCCTCTCTTGCACCTCTTCTAAGGAAAGGAAAGAAAGAGTGTAACTTTAATAGTCTAAAGACTATTATTGCCATAGTTACCTGATAATCTACTTTATTAATTCTGTCATTTTCCAACATGTAGCTAATGATGTGGGGTAAAGAAGAGCATAATGCTTTGCATCTGGAAAAATCCTCTTTAAAGAAGAAAGGCATAACTAGTAAAGCTTGAAAGGTACCTTAGTTGCCCTGCCCTGTATTTTCTTGAGTGGTTTATTTGATGTAACCTTGATTTGATCTTGCCTTTTTTCGCGTAATTGTACCTTGCGCTCCTTTTCCTTTCACTTATTAGTTAATTACTTTTCCAAAGTAGACAGGAGTGGAAATCCTTAACAGCAAATCTTAAATCTTCATCTGTTTGCCTAATATCGTACTGATATTGTTGTAAGTATTTTGTTTCGACGTGATTGATATTACTCTTTGTTAGTACAAAGGTTTTACCGTGTTCTAGCTTTCGTTATCATGACAGTATATAATCTTGGTGTTTCGCATAGGCTTCCCTGTGTTTTGTTTAGTGTGTGTACTGATCCCACATTCCTTTGTTAATTCAGATTACTATAGGGCCTTGTTGCTGAACTATTGAACAATGTTATGTGCAGGAAAATAGCCGTTTTTGTTTTTTGAGGAAATGTTGGTTTAGTATGTGGTTGTCACCTCCGTCTTTTCTTTAGTTGACTTCAGAGAGTTAGTTGACTTGTGAAAATTATGGATTGCTAATGATTTGACGTCATAACAAACGTCCTATGAAATGTTAGAAGCTAGTTGACATTCAGTTTTAAGTTGCAATCCCATAATAATATGCTCCTCTCGGTTTATCTAGATTTAGTTATCACGTTACTTTAACCTCTCATAAGTAAAGATTTTTACATGAATATTAAATTGAAAAATTTAACAACAACAAACCAACCTTTGCCCCGTTCTCTCATATTAAACCAACCTCTAAATCTGCCTAAAATAAACCTAAGTTTCTAATTTTTCTCTCATATTAAACCAAGTAGATAACTTGACCTATTATACTAGGTAGCAATCCACGTGTCATGTCCTTATTGGTTAATTTCTTTTAAAAAAAAAAAACACCCTTCATTCCCCACCATTGTCAGCCCTCCCCCCTCCCCACCAGCCACCTCTCCACTGTCGGCGGTCGGTAGCCGGTGCCCAACCCGTTCCCCCAGCTCCTGCAACCCCCCTCCCTTTACCCCACCCTCCATGACACCACTCAATGCCCCTTAAACATAACCCCCCACACTACTTATACTACCCATCACCCTCAAAAACCACTACATCCACCACGAAAACCACCAAAAAAAAAGTCTTAACCATCTCTATAAAGACCCCTAACCATCCTCATAAAAAACTCACAAACACCCAAACAAGACTAGATCTAACAACAATTACTCACAAAAACAACCAAAAACTAGATCTAACAACACTTATTCAAAAATATAAGAGAAAGAGAGAGAGAGAGAGGAGTGACGGTGGTAGCAGGCCGATGGCGGTTGGTTGGGAGGGGCGACGATGGTAGGTGGTGCAGAGGGTGGTGGCAAAAGTAGTGGTGGTAGGGTGAAGGGTAGACAAGTAGATTGATGGGTGGTGGTTGCTGAAGTGATTCCCTTTCTTAAATTTAAAACAAACAACAACAACCACCCGTCGGGTGAAGTGGTGGTGGTTGTTGGAAGCCGGCAGCTGGCAAGGGAAGGGAGGAGGGAGTGAGCA